CCGCACCATACATTCAAGCTAAATCTTGTTTGAACCTTGGTTTCTACATTACAATGGTCCAACATCTGTGATTTCGTCTATTGAAGATGCCATTTCGCCCGAATGTGCATTCATCTGACCCCATTATTTTTCTATAAAATGCAGGATCTTGATTGAACCTATTCAAAAAAATATTCCAGAAATGTGTACTACGTTCTCTGTCATTATCGTACTCCAAGGCGTGAATTTTGCGGGGAACGTATGGCGTGTACTTATGTTTTTTTCTAAATAGGAAGAAATGTCCTTCGTGACGTACCAAAATTATTTGCAATCTTTATTAATTGTACATTTCCTGGGCGTTTCTTGTACACTGAGTAAAACATTCAATTCCAAATCTGCATCAAACCCTCGCTGTTGTTTCTTTGGTTTTTTGAAACTACCAGATTGACGTATATTAGCTTCCAATCTGCCAAATTTCTGATGGCTAAGATGATTTCTGTTCGGATATCTGTTTCTATAAAAACGAGCAGCACCGTACGAATTTTTGAAACATTCAAAATAAACTTGTATAACATATCGGTTAACTCATTATTATTTATGTTTATAAAATAGAAAATATCATCACCCGTATTGAAACTTATTATTGGATGTTACTGTCACATTGGAATTGACTTACAAGGCTACCTAGATCTTGATCACTATTACCAATTAATGGGCAATGTTTAGATAAAGATAAAAAGTAATAAAAAAAATTCCTCTTGACATTTTGTTCCGAAAAAACTACTGGTGTATGTAAAATGATACCCTGAATCCAATAATGGCAAAATATACAGGGGGTTCCATGTGAAAATCAAAAGTTGGGGTCACTTCCGTTTAGACCGGAAGTGATGGAATAATTTTTTTTTCGTCAAAAAATGAACAATATGGTATAGTTGCTACCCACCAAATTTCAAATTTCGATCTCGAATGATTCAGAAGTTACAGCTCTAGCCGTTTTTTGTGCACACCTCTGTATATTATCTATGTATTAAATATATACATATGCTTTATCTATATCATATAGAATATACACATTATCAAGTACCATCGGAGGAACCCATTCATAGAAAAAAACTCCCATCCACGTGTATTTTGAAAAAGTAATGATTTTTTTTTCGAAATTCCGAAAAAGGGGGGCTGTGGGGTTAATTCTTGCCGGACAAAATATTGTGAGATATACATATTATTGAGTACCATCAGAGGAACACATTCATTGAAGAAAACTCCCATCCACGTGTATTTTGAAAAAGTTATGATTTTTTTCGAAATTCCGAAAAAGGGGGCCAATGGGGTTAATTCTTGCCCGACAAAATATTGTGAGATATACATATTATTGAGTACCATCAGAGGAACACATTCATAGAAAAAAACTCCCATCCACGTGTATTTTGAAAAAGTTATGATTTTTTTTCGAATTTTCGAAAAAGGTGGTCTATGGGGTTAATTCTTGCCCGACAAAATATTGTGAGATATACATATTATTGAGTACCATCAGAGGCATGCATTCATAGAAAAAAACTCCAATCCACGTGTATTTTGAAAAAGTTATGAATTTTTTTCGAAATTCCGAAAAAGGGGGCCTATGGGGTTAATTCTTGCCCGACAAAATATTGTGAGATATACATATTATTGAGTACCATCAGAGGAACACATTCATAGAAAAAAACTCCCATCCACGTGTATTTTGAAAAAGTTATGAGTTTTCTTCGAATTCCCGAAAAAGGGCGCCTATTGGGGTTAATTCTTGCCCGACAAAATATTGTGAGATATATATATATTATTGAGTACAATCAGAGAAACACATTCATAGAAAAAAACTCCCATCCACGTGTATTTCGAAAAAGTTATGAATTTTTTTAGAAATTCCGAAAAAGGGGGCCTGTGGGGTTAATTCTTGCCCGACAAAATATTGTGAGATATACAGATTATCATAGACCCTCAGAGAAAATCATTGATGTAAAATAGTTTCATCCATGGACATATTTCTGAGGTTTAAGTAATTTCATGGCCAGCCATGAATATAAATTGATAATGAACGACCATTGGTGGTATGGCGCGCGCCTTGAATATTAGGCGAAGTCGTGGCTGGAACTCGTGGCTGGTTTCACACTGATGCATGATGTATTCATCACAAAGAGAATGCGAATTCTCAATGTATTTCTTCTTTTTTCATAACTATCAGTGACGGCTCGTGCCCTCAGAACCTGGGTCGGCCAGGGTATAGATATTGCTCTAAAATGCGAACGTAAGTGGGTCAGCGGCTTGAGTGAAGTTCGATGGCAAATAAGCATGTACAGGGTGATTCACCATAATTGTCCTTTCTCCCTCTAGCTCACTTATTTTTGACCCGATTTAAAAATTTGAAGGATGATCTAAAATGATTTCTCAGAATTTTTTTTCCCGGTGCATCAGGAAATACAGGGTGCTCGGAACAAATGATCTACAGGGTACTACTCGATTTTTCCAAATGGAACACCCTGTATTTCATTGTATTTTTAGATTCTTCCTGAAGAGCTGATTTGGGGTCTAGCGGGAATGATAACAGAGATATAGGGTGTTCAAAATCGAGATTTTTCAAGTTTAGGATTTTTCTGTCTCGAAACTATTCATTATTGGTCGAAACGGCTCCTATGTTTCCATCTTAATTTTGATTAACTGTCTATTGAGATTTGATTGGAACATTTACAGGGTGGTTCAAGATTCAGAATTCTGATCACCCTGTATCTGTTCCAATTATTAAATGTCAGTAGATAGTAAATCAAAAGTTGAGATATGGACATGAAAGCCGTTTTGACCGATGATGAATAGTTTCGTCTCAAAAAAATCCTTAAGTTGAAAAATCTCGATTTTGAACACCCTATATCTCTGTAATCATTCCCGATAGACCCCAAGTGTGATGCATTGAGCAAATCAGCTTTTCAGGGAGAATCTAAAAATACAATGAAAAATAGGGTGTTCCATATAAAAAAATCAAATGGTACCCTGTAGATCGTTTGTTCTGAGCACCCTGTATTTTCTGATGTAGCGGAAAAAAATTCAATCAAAAATCATTCAAGATGATATTTCAAATTTTGAAATCGGTTTAAAAATAATTGAGCTAGAGGGGGGGACATTTATGGTGAATCACCCTGTACACATAACCAAAAAATTAAATTGTCCAGCAAGAATCACGAGGTTAGAGCATTCTCGCCAGGGGAAATGGGGAAAGAAAAAGGAGGTGGATAAGGGTTAGTTGGTATGAAAAAATAATAACAAGAAATTCGAAAAAATAAAATGAAAGAAAATAAAAATAAAATAACTCGTGAACAAAAAATATTTATATTCTGTTGAAAACGTAATGTAAACTCAAAAAAATCAACATAACCGACAACCACTCACCTAACGCGAGAAGCACAACAATGACTAATCGGTCTACGCCGTTCCTGTAACAAGCCACCCCACTGACCCCACTCCTTCGTAGTCGGCTGGCCGAGCCCGCGTGCAGGGTGCAGCCGTAGGTATAATGTTTCCCGCGATGCGATGGATGCATAAATATTATTTAGGTAGTTTATAACCGCTACATGCGTCTTTGAAAATAAATGATATTCTGGAAGTTATACATTTATTACATTTTTGTCACCAGAGTTTTTTTACGATGTTTCAATACCTACTCAGCTCTTGGACTGCTGACATTTTTCTTGCCATATTACCTACATAGGCAGAGGCTCAGTAGGTTACATTACAGCAATATCCAAATTGAATTATAACTTATTGACGCTAAGAAGCACTGAAGGAAAATTCTGATACCAATATTAGATGGATATGTTGAATTATGAATTACTGAAAAATTGCAAATTCAAAAATCACCAGTCATTTTTACTGCAACTACTGCAAGCGTAAACAAAAACATGGAAATTATTTTTCTTTTCAGTTTGTACATTTCAAATTCCAACATCAACTTACAAATAAGTATAGGAATTAAAATTATAAATACCTATAATGTAAAATGAAAATAGAATGTCAATCAATCAATCATGCCAATCCGTATATTAAAAATTAGGTCGGAATGGTTCGATACGGTGCACAGCCAGCGCACTGCAAACAACTGATACTGATAAGTACGATCGATACGTTGGACGGCCAGCAGAGCTTGGCCGCACCCAAGGTATGACGCGTATAAGCGAAAATTTAAACTTGAAGCTGGGAATCTGTAGGCGATGCCTGTGGCGATGCGTCGAGACAAGAAATTACCGATCGGCCGGCCGTCTGCATCAGTGTAATGAGCTACGCGAGCGTTTCAACTGAAAGCGGCGTTTTGACGATGGGATTACCAGATGTCGTAGGTCCTGAATTAGTTCGTGATTTTCGGTGTATATGCGGATGGCATACTCAAAGGTTCCATGAATGAAATTCAAATAATAGTGGCATAACAGTAGGATAATGAGCGATGAATTATGAAAACAGTTTCGGAAAATAATTTTATTCATCAAATAGTTCAGTAATTTTCCCCAAATTATTTGGTACGGCCCGGCCGACCCTGCCGTCCCTGACGAGCCGTCACTGATAACTATATTCATAATTCGCAATAAAGAATAAGCGTACGCCACCTTTCGGAGTTCTTGAATGCTGTCAAAGCGGCATGTTTACTTTGTTCTCATTGGTTCCCATTTGTTTTGGTTATTGTTCATATCATCAAAACAAACCGCCCAGAAGTTTTCAAGTTGCTGCCGCCAGGTGGGGCGACGTGTTATTTTTTATTGTGAATAATCATATCTGGGAATATTCCTCTTCAATAATTAAAAATAATTTGATATTTTTTCAATACAACCATATTCATTTTCTCTTATTCGAATATTCTTCAAAGCAAGGTGTCACTGACAATCTATATGAAAATCAAGATAAAAAATTCCAGAGACGTTACCAAATTTTTTTTTTCGGGTGCCTTCGACCAAAAATTCGAAATTTATCCTTCTCTCTAGGTAAAAATCACTTCAGCACTCTTAATATAACAACAAATTTATTAAAAAAAAATAAATACTATAGCACAAAATTCCTTATTTACAAAAATCCATGACCAGCGACAGCTGCGGGGATGTACCCCTCTCTTCCCTCCTTGTTCCTCACGTAGAACCACCCCCTTACATTGGCGTGCAACAGGAAAACAACCTCTCCCTGTACAGCGGAAAAATCGTTCGGCGCCGTGCCTAGAAAATCGGTTTCTATGACTAACAGCGTCTGTCTGATGCCCTCGTCTTTGCCCTTGGATTTCAAGATGGCGGTGGCTCGTAGGTAGAGTTGGTCGACGCTTCTTTCGCCACAAGAACTGGCGACGTTTCGAGACCTAGAAGGATTCATCATCAGATAACGCGGTATAATCCATCATGACGATATACATTTACGGTGATAAAGTTTTAATGCATGGGTAAAATACAAAATGGAAGAAATTTCAAATATGGAATCCTGAGCTCAAGATACGAAGATTTTTTCGCAATCATGCAGGTTGATAATTTCGAACTGGTATATTAATTTGTTCGAAGATAAACAGGGTGTATCTAAATAACACCAAAAAGATTCAAAAGGGATGATTCCTTTGTGGCATCTTATAGGAAATGAACTTCATTAAAACATATGTGTCCCAACTTGCTTCGTTTTCGAGATATAGAGAGCATTAATATTTCAATGAAAAATCTTTTTTCTCCGATTGGCAGCAAATATTAATTTTGCTGACACATATCAATCAGCAAAGTATTACTTTTCCTGCCTAGGCAGCAAAGTGGTTACTTTGCTGATTGATATGTATCAGCAAAATTAAAAATCCATAAATCGTTTATAATTTCCTTCATATTTCATCCGAGACTTCTCCGGCAACAAATTCAACTCTATATTTTTTGCCACCTAGGTGCTCTCTTATTAATGGAGGTGTAAGTATACTTCCAGGTCGCTTTCACTGTCCATTATATAATAATTTAAATATACCGATATTTTTTCACACAACTGTCAGAAATTTCATGAATTGTCAAACCAACAACTGCGATTTCTATCAAATTTTATTTTAATTGAACACTATACAGGAAGAATAAAGAGATTGTGGGAATTGTATTAATTCGTAAATACAATATTCTCCCATATCATTATGAACAATCGGGAAAAAAATTATATGTTCGACTCGGCAGCAAAGTGGATTGACTGCCACCCTGTGAAAAATTCATTTTTCTATTGTGTCATTTTTCAAATTCATGATTCTGAAAACAATTAAATGAGCATCTAAAATCTGGAGTCCAAATTCAAATCGGTGATTTTTTCTTGAAGTTATTTCCTTACGAATCTGAGCAAAAATTTCAGGAGTCTCACTTTATTCAAGGGGCAATGTATTATTGTATATGTACCTGATACGACATCTGCCGGAATCCTCGCAATCTGATTTGGAACTGAGTTTTTCTGTGTCAGTCATGTTGCCCGAAGGTTTGGGAAAAACATCCGTGCTCTTTTCCCAACAAGGTGCTGGCTTATTGTCATCGTCAGATGATGGTATGATACCTACAAAAAAACTGAGAATGTCCCAATTGATACTATAAATGTAGTCATCAGCTATTCGTGTTCTGTTTCAGTTCTACAGGAAATTGTTTTTATCTCTTGGAGTGCACGGAAGGAAATTCATATGATGTTAGAAGAATATCGTGTAAAACTGCGAACCTAGAGAAAATATTGGGATGGGAGGTAGGTGTTACTTCTTACTGAAGATGGACAACATATGGCAGAATGGAAAAATATTAATATCATTGGTAGAGAAGATAACAACCAGAAGAGAAAAATCAAGGAATCTGCTTGCATTCTTCATCCTGAACGGAGACAATGGCATTGCTTCCTGTTCAGTTGATATAGATATAACATGGTATTCACTACTCAAATTCGAAAATGAAAATGGTGAATTCAAGATTGATTAATGGAAATATCCTGTAACTCATCTGTTTGCCAACGTCACCTATTGTCGCAACTGAGAACTGAAAAGTGTCAGGACAAATACGAATTTGCGATACAAAGAATCCATTTTTTATGTTGAAAACGGGAGCAGATTCGTTTCCAAAACGTCCAAAGCTAAGTGAAAATCTGATACTATTTCTAGGTATATAACTTTATTTCTCTTCTCCAAACCTTTTTCGATACAAATTGTCACTGACAAGCTGGTGAATTTTTCTTTTAGGCTCTCTGAGAGGAAAATTCTTCAAACGTAGTGACATTTTGGGGCAAATCAGCTGATTTTTATTTTATAGAGACGAGGAGAGGTGATCCCAAAAAATCTGGAATAATGAATGTACCACCTTCTCGATCAACCTACAGACAGTATTTAAAAGGTATAGTTTATGCAAAGTCAGCCGTAAGCCGTCGGTCCCTTTGAAAGTTCAAACCCAGCGAGCACATGGCACATACATCCCTGGGATGTTTTGGGATGTTTTGAAAATGTTGGCATATGAAGATGTTATTTTGAGACGTAATATGCACTGACCAAAGAGGTCTTTGAAGGATATTGAAGTATTTTTTTGTTCTTCTGTGGCATTTCTTTGTTTGCCTACTGAGAGGCATCCCTGGGATGTTTTGGGATATTTTAGAAATGTTGGCATGAGGATGTTTTTTTGAGGCGTAATATGCACTTCCCAAAGAGGTCTTAGAAGGATATTGAAAGTATTGTTTTTGTTCTTTTGTGCCCTTTCTTTGTTTCCCCACCACAACGCCTCATGCTTACGTCACAATACGATGAATTCTGATTTGTTTTCGATTTTGTTCTTCTTGTTCGCAATTGGAATTCGCGTTTGCAGCGTGTCACGCTTACATCACGCTGCTAACGAACAGAAAGGAATTTGGTGAAGTTTATTGTGTTAGAAGACTTATTTAGTTTGTAATAATGACCATCAGATGCAAGCAGATGTGTTGTTCGGTGCCTCAGTGTAATCAATATATAAAAGTACGAATTCATCAATACACAGCTTCTCCGCAGTTGCAAAATCTTGCATTGTGGAGAACATTTCAAAAATTGGGAAACCTATTTCCAATTATATGTCTGTGTGTAGTAAGCACTACTCAGAAACCGATTAAGAAGGTAATTTCATATCAAGAAAATATTTTTATGTTCAATCTATTTTTAATACATTTTTTCATTCAAGGGTAATGGAATCCTAATGCAAAAGTTCATTTTGACAAAAGGCTTCAGAAGAGTACCTGGAAAATGTTTTTTTTACAGCGATTTAATGTGCGCAAGACGCGTTGAAAATGTTCTGTTGTGTCCATGAAAAGGCTTTAAAAAGAACTAGGGAGAAGGTAGTTTTGTGACATATCAGGGACATCTCGATAATTGCCGCCTGCGGCGAACATTGGCTGTTCTATAATAGTTCTATTCATGTGTGAACAGAACATCGCAGTGGAGGTTCAATGTCTCGAAATCTCGTACTTTCAACATCTCTGAGATGTTTTTGTGCTCGCTGGGAAGAGTGTAGCAGCGCGGCCCGACATTCTCCGTTTGATGATCTGTTCAACTGACTTTGAATAAACTTAATATTATGTTGATTCATTGTTCATTGGCACTTTTTATGTGTAAATGTACCTTGGAATTACCTAATGGCAGACAAGCAGCATAACTGACGTAACCTTCCTCCGCATGAGGAGTCTGCACGTATAACCAGTGCTGGTTCTTGAAGACAGCGTTCACAACCATTCCAAGGGGTAACCAGATCTCTGCCTGGTATCCACCAATCCTCGTTTGGTATAGCACGCTAGGAAATGCTAAGACCACCGGTATATTTGCTGGTTCTTCAATAGTTGCCTGAAAGTACGGAACTTCTTTGAGAATCATATTTTGTGACATACATAAGGTTTGTTTACGTTGACAAAATTAACAGTACGAAATGTTCATCAGAAAGTGCGTTCACAACCAGTTCTCTGCCTGGTGAGTACCAATCCTCGTTTGGAACATGAGAAAACGGGAAAACGTGTTTTTGTTGATGTAGTTTCTAAATCATCTCAGGCTCTTCTCGGATTCAATATCAATTTGAAACGCGAAGAAACCTAAGTATACCTATATATATTCACGAAATGATCCTGTGGTATTCGATGAAAATTAGGTGGCTCGTTTGACCTCATGGATTTTCCTTTAGTTGTGTGATAGTAGTCCCAGATTGTCACTGTGAAACTATATAGTATTCGCTTCCCTTTGGAAGATAAGGGCAGAGATTAACCCATCGAGTTGAGGCTTCGCACCCTTTCGTGGTCACTTTGGAGACCTGCAGAACATTTTTTCCAAAGACTCGTTTATCCAACGAACAGCGAGGCTCTAGAACACATTGCAAAGGGAGGTGTTTCCCGAGGCATATAACCTCCAGAAATGTGAGAACACCAATTCCTACCTTATTTCCCTTGGTTCTCACGATGTTCTCAGAACATTACAAGATATCCCTTTTCGTGGGAACCAGAACATAAAAACAGATGGTAGATCGAACTCAAATTGAGAAGATATTCGCCTCATTTATATGTTTCCAAAACAAATAGGTCGATGATAATGTTCATTTGAAATTTCATAATCCTAACAGAGGAATCTTTCGACTATAGATATATTTTTTGAAAAATGTCAAGAGTTTGCCAACTTGAAGGTCTCTTAACACGGGTCTTAGGACTCTTCAGAGTCTGGTCTCGTCTTGACATGGCCTATAATTTGCGGACAGTCGACCGTATTCGGCTGGCTGTCCATAGATCACCGCAATAGTCCAGTGAACATATATTAAGTGTGGAAAATGTGTTATCGTTCATGATCCAAGCAGGTAAAATTTTAGCTTTTCGGTAGTTTTTGTAAATTGTGGGTATTTTTTTATTCGTTTCACTTTCAGGCTGGTTCCATAAAAAGCTCTGTCAACTCTACAAAGAATCAACTATACTCGATCTTTTATGATTCATCGGCTAATTCACCTGTTGTCATGCTAATAAACAGATTATAAAAATTCAATCAACTATTGAATGTTTCATGCAACTGTAATTCAATTTGAAAGTGATAAACAAAGCATCACCTCTGGAATTTTTAATCGAAACAATTGAATCGCTCATTGATTTTCTTTTCAATTAGTAGTTAAGTAGAATACTCCTGGAAGAAAATGGTGAATTTGTATAATTCGAATATTGCTACTTCAAAGTTGCAAAGAAACTGCTTAGATGTCTAACCTTCTGCGGGGTTAGGAAGAGGCAGTACATACAGCTAATTAAATTTAATTGAATTTCCACTTGCAATACCACTATAGAGGTCAAATTATTCCCGGAAAGTAATTTAACCTCATGTGGAATTGAATAATTTCACACTTTATTTGTTCGTTTATTTGCATACAGGTTCTTGAAAAAATTTAGTTTGGATCGCAGTTTCGGCACCAATAATAGATTCCTGATTTCTATACGTATTATATTTGCATGAAAATACTAGTTTAAAATGTAACATATTATATTGTTCCATTTCATATTAACTCCGGGATACTACAAGTGATAAGAAAATATAATTTTATCAATTAATTTTTCATCGGTATAGGTACATACTAGTAGTAGTAGTAGAGAAAGGGGAGGCGGTAGCCTAGCAAGTAGGCCCCATTGAGCCTTTTTTGCCGACCCCTGCTGCACACGTCATGTGCACATAATATCTACTATTCCTTTTCCTAATTCTCCTTTTCGAACCTCCGTGGATTTCTGATGAAGGTCAGTATGTCCGTCCACCTTAGTAATTTGATCTTCCTCTTGAAGCGTATCAGTGCCAGAGATTTCGAATTTCAGCCTTCCATAACGCCTTACACTGACCCAGGTAGTGGTATGACATTCTATATAATAGATGCAGTTTGGGCATCAATGGATTCTTAGCCTATTGATTGTTGATTTCTACCCAATAGGTCGCGTGCACGATGACCGACCCTGGAGGCAAAATATTGAAACACAACATCACTCTTCTGTGAATTATTGAAACACAACCTCACTTCTTCATTTGTTTACGGAGGAATCAAAAGGTTGAAATAGTTTTTCACAATATTTTGGCATACGAATCGTGTTTCTTGCGTTATTCATTAATTCAAGCATGCCTTCGCATTGTGCTGTTGTACAATGCACAAAAAATGCAGCAAGAGACTAGGGAATATGATTTTTCAGGTAAATAGTAATCTCACATAGTTATCATTATGAAATGTTGTCATTCCTTATTAAAATTTCTTCTGCCTTCTGCCACTTCTGCAATACAAGCTAATACTGCTAATAGATTGAAAATGTCTACAACACACACGATCGTCAGCATGTCAGACCAGTTCTCCCGATTGATTGCATAAATCCAATCTTCTTGCATTATTCTAGAAATTTCAGGTATATTTCTATTAGCTCTTATTGCAGAAATAATACCGATGAGAAATCAGAGAAATAACCAAATTTCAAAAATGAAAACTATATGTGAGTGACTATAGTAGGTACTTACTTTTAAATCATAATGTACCATCCGGATTCCTTCATCTTCCGCTGCAGTTTTTGTGCATTTTACAACAGCACAATGTGATGGCATGAGCGAATTGATGAATAGCGGAAAAATATGATTCATATGCCAAAATAATTGTGGAAAACTATTTCGATCACTTGTAAACAAATAAGGAAAATGACGTTGTGTTTCAATGTTTTGCCTCAAGCGTCGGTCATCTGACAGTTCTTGCACGCAACCCATTGAAGTGGCACAGAATCATTATTTCAGGACGTCAAAATATTATTCTGTCATTAAAACGTCATAAAAAAATTTCCAAATTCATATGCTGGTGGTAACTCACGAGGAAAAAACCCAATTTAACTGTATAAAAATCACTGGTGTGGTATTTCTGAATAATTTTTGAATGATTGGCATAAAATGTAATTATTTCAGTTCCTTTCCATGTAACTGAAAAAATATATAAAAATACAAGGTGTTTAATTATTGGAAGGTCAAAAGTTCGGTGAAACAGGAATTGCGAAATGCAACGTAGGTATTTCCCGACATAATTTGACTGGGCTATAAGTCTGGCATGGCATTTAGGCTGTCAGAACGAATAAGGGGGCAATTAAATGGTTAGGGATCGTAGGTCAAGGGGCAATATGGCGCGGGAACTGGTCTCGATCTCAACCACCCACGAAATCATGTACAGGGTGGCCAACTAAGAATCCAGAGTTCGATATCTCTGTTGTCTTGAGAGATACAAAAAAAAGTTTCGTATTCAAATTGAAGTGATAACCGAGCTTCACATTTCAAAATTTATTTGAAATACACAGGGTGTTCCGTAAGGTCACAGCACATCAAAACTATGTTTTTTTCATTAGAACACCATATATTTTATTTCATTTTTGAATTCTCCCTGAAAATCTGATTTCAACGACCCATCATACTTAGGGTCTAGCAGTAAAAGTTACTGACATAATATGAGGTGTGCAAAATCGAGATTTTCCAAGTTCAGGATTTTTTTCTGTCGAAACTGTTCATTATTCGTCAAAACGGTTTACATGTCCATATCTCAACTTTTCACTCACTATCAATTGGTGTTCAATTGACATATAATTGAAACAAATTGAAAATTTAGATTTTTTGACCACCTTGTATCAATTTCAATTGAACACCAATTGATAGTGAGTGAAAAGTTGAGATAGGGACATGTAAACCGTTTTGACGAATAATGAACAGTTTCGACAAGAAAAATCCTGAACTTGGAAAATCTCGATTTTGCACACCCTATATGTCAGTAACTTTCACTGCTAGACCATGAGTATGATGGGTCGTTGAAATCAGATCTTCAGGGAGAATTCAAAAATGAAATGAAATATAGGTTGTTCATATGAAACAAACATAAATTTAATATGCTGTTACCTCATGGAACACCCTGTATATTCCAAAATAATTCTGAAATGTGCAGCTCGGTTATCACTTCAATTTTGATACATGACTTTTTTTTGTATCTCTCAAGACAACAGAGAATTCTAACTCTGGAGTCTTAGTTGGCCACCCTGTACAGGTTCTTCCCGTATATTTTGATCATATACAGGGTGTTCCTTAATGACATGCTAATATTCAAGGGGACGATTCTTGGTCCAATTACAAGAATAAAACTTCATATGAACTTATATGTCGTAAAATTCCTAACTTTTGAGATACATGTATCTAGAAATTTCAAGTATTAATAGCGCTAAATTTAGATAAGTTCTAGTTTTTCAGTAGATATTTCATCGATAGACCTTTTTCCTGGAATTTTCATATTTACGTTGTTGCTGATACATCAGTGCCTCATTTTAATTTTATCAACATTAAACATTGACCAGCACTAGTCATTTACTATAAGAGCTGATGTGGACCTAAGAAGTAGGTGGAATTAAGAAAAACGCGAGTGCAGAATGTTTCATAATCTCAGATACAGGGTGATCAGAATTCTGAATCTTGAACCACCCTATATTTATTCCAATTGAATGTCTTTGATAGTTTATCAAAAGTTGAGATTGGGACATCATGTAAGCCGTTTAGATCAATAATGAATAGTTTCGACACAAAAAAATCTCAAATTTGAAAAATCTTGATTTTGAACAGCCTATATATCTCTGTTATCATTTTTGCTAGAGCTCAAGTACAAGAATCTGAAAATGCAATGAAACAAAGGGTGCTCCGTTTAAAAAATCAAAGTTGCTGCTACTTTCTAGTAGAAGCGGCAACGCCGCATCGTTTGAAATATTCCAGACGTGTAGATCATGTCAATTTATAGAAACCATCAACTTTCTAGATTCATTCAATGCTCGGTTTGCCAGAAACGTATAATTAAAGTTCATCGTCAAAAACACTGTATGCCAGTTTAAATCTTCAAACTCCACATCAATGATTTTCTTAATCCAATAAACTGTAATAATTTCTCTAAATTGAATCGTCGACTTCCCTCTCACAGAAAAAAAATGTGAATCAAACACGAAAAAAGTACTAGATTTCAGCTCTCATAGTTTGTCGTCTACTACTTTTTTTTTCTTTGTAATCAATAACTATTTCAAAACAAGATATATTGAAATAATACGCATATTTTCATTTAATTGAAACGAGGAGAGAAAATTCCAAAAAATCAAGTAAAATGAAGATGCAGAATTTGACAAACCTTAGCTAGAAATGCATCGACATCTTGTATGTCATAACCGAATTGCTCTATATCTTCGTCCCAATTGTTTTTGATCTTGGTACTTTTCCTGCGGTGCCTGGTATATTTTTCTCTACGTTTCACGGGTACCAGACTAGGTTCAGATTTTGCTCTGCCAACTGTAGGTGCGTTTTGGGTTTTAACTAGCCTACATTCGTTCGTGTGCTTGCTTTGGTTGGATTTGTTCAAATTGTTCAGCTGAAAATAAACGGAAACAAAATCACAGAATGCTTACACCTGATATATCTGGAGTTTGCACTTCCAATGGCTTTCAATACTACTTTTACACGGAGTTATCATCATTTCTCTGATGCATCTTATTTTCTTACAATTTCAAGTTATTTGCAATAGTGCGGAAAATTTTTTCCCGCACTCATTTTAGTGTGGACAAGTAAGTTTGTTGTCATTAATATCATTAATGATTACATTTTTCATCTTTTGCAGCCCACGAGCGAAAAATAGTGTACCTAACACGTGTATAAAGTGACTTTCCCGCACTTGTTAGCTGAACTTCTATTTTTTTTTGTTTTATTCTAGGTGGAGTATATTTTATAATGATATCATTGAATTTTTTTTTCGAGTGAAGTCATATAATATATTATATTGGTAAGTTATACTTTTGTATCATAATAATGCATCATGCTGTTTTATCCGATTTGAGAGATAAATCAATTCTCAATTTCAGTGGATTCTCATTTTTCATGCTATCTTTTTGGATGTTCAACAGATATGGCATATAGCCAGGAAAGTAGCTGTTTCCTGAATTGTCATTTTCGTCACATAGGGAATGCGAATTCTCAATGTATTTCTTTACATATAGGTATCCATTTTTTATGTTCATAATTATATCTGAGAATATTCCTTTTCAATATCATTGAACATGTTTTTTGAAATTACCTGAATGTTCTGGCTGTTCACGATGTTCTGTTTCACGCAGTTCGTCTGTTTCGCATCGTTTTTCCTCTTGTTCTTGTACTGGAACTTGACGGATTGCTCAGAATGGCGATGACTGGTGGTATGGAGCTTGAGAGGGAAGAGGGATATCGGTAACTTTTTTTCATTGATGCTGCCCCCTTGATGGGAGGCCTTCTGACCCATGTCATTTGGTAGAGTGGGGGAAAGCTGAGGAAATTACCATTGTTCCGCAACTGAAATTCAGAATTAACCGATGGTCAGAACTGGACAACTATATATGAAAAACATGTCTGTTAGAAAATGAATTGGTTTAGTCATATCGAATTTTTAAGAAAAAAAATCGAGTGTAATTATTTTGCTTCGACAGCTTAAACATTCAATAGATCTACCATCTCTACTACCCTCTAATGCGTTATTTCACTCGCAGGTGAACTATGGAATACTAATTTGGCGAAATCAATGTCTGTTAGAAAATGAATAGCTTTAGTCATATCGAATTTGTAAGAAAACATCTATCGAGTGTAATTTTTTTGCTTCTACAGCTTAAACATTCAATATATAGATCTATCATCTCTACTATCCTCTTATGCATTATTTCGCTATACTTTGGGGAAATTCCAGTCATAGTATTGATATATTCATCCTACAGAAGATGAGCATTGTCGTCCATTTTTCATTAAGTTTGTAATTATGACAATACCATCTATATTTATATTCAACACATTATTTCATATTCACAATAATTCTACTAAATTTGGCATCCAGTCCAACCTACACAATTTCAGGCTCAATATTTCTGGAAAAATTACCATAAACACTGATCTCTATAATAAGCTGGTAACGTTTTCATAAGTATAAACAGCCGTTAGTTGAATTACAACTGGATTTGAATAAAACAATCTTGTCCGATAAAGATACAGTCAAATGTCTTTGATTTCACTTTGATGAACACGTCAACTGGGTGTCACACTGTGAAGGTCTAATATCAAAAATACACTCATCCCATAGATTATTCAAGAACTTAAAAACAGTACTAGATGTTGGCCAGCTTGTACATATCTATTATGCAAAAATTGAATCGCGTCTTCGTTGTGGCATCTGCTCATGGGGCATCTCTACCAAGTCAAAAGATGTTTTCATTGCACAAAAGGCAAATATGAGGAGCATTTTTAATATTCCTCGTAAAGATACCTGCAAACTAATTCTTCAATCCAGTAGGTATAACATCTTGACTCTCGCTAGTTTATACATATTTGAGATTGCATGTTATATTTATTACAACATGACCTATTTCAAGCTCGATAAAGACATTCAAAACATGAATACACGTCAGAAAGGCTTAATTCACACACAAATTGAAAAATACAAAAAGCTCAAAATGCACCTAACTTTATAGGACCACGTATTTACAATCATTTATCTGAGCATATTAAATCAAGTTTAACAATTAAAATTCTCGAAACGCTCCTCAAAACAATTTTTTTTTATACTGTGCAAGATTTCTTGGATCGTCTGGTACAGTGATATTTTTTTTGTATTGTTTTTCGTTAATGTGTATCTATGTATTGTGTTTAATGTGTTTCACAAGATTTTTTACGTTTCTGACACAATCGACACAATGTTATTATTGTCTGAAGGAATAAAGATTTGATTGATTGAGGATTCGCCATCTTGAAATTTTCATCTGTCAATTTTTTTCCAAAATATACCTAGTATTCATGCATGAATTTCACTATCCCAAGTTTCATTATTTTCAGTTGTGTCGTTCAAACAAGAAAAGGGGGGAGAGGGGTCATTAAAGAAAAGCACTGTATGTGTGCAACACCTCGCATATACAGGGTGTTCATTTCAGGACTTCCCACCCTAATTTTCTCGAAATGTGTGTATGTTTTTGAAAAATCCCGAGACACGTCAACTACATTTTCGAGGGGGACATGGTTCTAAAATATTTTCAGCCCCGCGGCGTTGCTGCTTCTAACGAAAAGAAGCAACAACTTTGTTATTTCAAATGGAACACCCTGTATTATATTGCATTTTTAGATTCTTCCTGAAAAGCTGATTTCATCAATGTATCACACTTGGGGTCTAGCAGGAATGATTACAGAGATATAGGGTGTTCAAAATCGAGATTTTACAACTTTAGGATTTTTTTGAGTCGAAACTATTCATTATTGGTCAAAACGGCTTTTATGTCCCTATCTCAACTTTTGATTTACTATCTACTGACATTTATTTGAAACAAATACAGGGTGGTTCAAGATTCAGACATTTGATCACCCTGTATTTGTTTCAAATAAATGTCAGTAGATAGTAAATCAAAAGTTGAGATAGGGACATGAAAGCCGTTTTGACCAATAATGAATAGTTTCGACTCAAAAAAATCCTAAAATTGTAAAATCTCGATTTTGAACACCCTATATCTCTGTAATCATTCCTGCTAGACCCCAAGTGTGATACATTGATGAAATCAGCTTTTCAGGGAGAATCTAAAAATGCAATAAAATACAGGGTGTTCCATTTGAAATAACAAAGTTGTTGCTTCTTTTCGTTAGAAGCGGCAACGCCGCGGGGCTGAAAATATTTTAGAACCATGTCCCCCTCGAAAATGTAGTTGACGTGTCTCGGGATTTTTCAAAAACATACACACATTTCGAGAAAATTAGGGTGGGAAGTCCTGAAATGAACACCCTGTATATACTATACTATTTCTGAGACATATTTCGACTAGTCAAGAGTCAAGATGAGAATCACTTATCAATAAGTAATGTGAAGCCTTCAGTCAATCAAGACAAGTGGATTGATTTTTATTTGATTTATACTCGTCTTAATTGGTGCAAGTTGCGACTAGCCTAGACACATTTTGAATCGCTTATCTTCAATTTACTCAGAGTGATGGTCAATCAGCTATTAAACTGAAAGACTTATTGGCATTAGTAAATTATTATTCTATCCTAATTATCAAGACGACATCAAGAGAGCATCCTTGAAGAGTGACAAAAAAGGGAACGAGTCAACATCATTATTAAGTACCTTTTTTAGTAATTGTCAGATCGATGTATCAGCAGAAACTTATAAGGAACTGTGTATTGCCATTGTAATTGTCGATAAAATTATTCAAGTATCAATTAGACGAAGCTTCTGGAAATACAATCCTTGTATACATCATGATTAAACTATATAGGATAAGTTTAATAGAAAACTTTTTGCTATACTATTATTCTTGTTGAATGATTCACCCAAAATAAGGAAATATATTGGTTTGAACCAAAGATGTCGAACTATTTGAAAAAAATATATGCATATACCTATCATCGGTGAGATATAAAACGTCATCTCAATAATTTTTGGGTGCCACAACCATATAATCTATATAATTTATTTCAGCTATAGGTATCCTTTATATATTTATTTCATGTCGAATATTTTCAGCAATATACTGTTGGTAAACTCTTGAAGAACTTAACTACTAATTAGAAACCTGAAAAAAATCAACAAGTCTCATTTGTTGTTATTGTAAGTTGATTCTTTAAGAAAATTAACGAAATTTTTAACTTCAAAATGTGAAGCACTCAAGATTTGAACTGATTTCTAATTGCATTTTCCATCATCAAGTAATGGCCGAGTCAATTAAAAAAAACACTAGGAAGGAGCGTGGTATTTTGAATAGTATAGTAATGGCATAATTACAAAAAAAAATAGCTAAAATATTTCCTATTGAAATTGCGGGCGCAATTTTTCCTTTCTATTACATTTGTATGTAACGATTTTCGTGGTGATATTTCTCATTAATATGTAGAACACATATTGGAGGAATAAAATATTTTTGGTATATTTGTCACAAGCTTCAATGAATTCACTTATATACAAAAATCACCTTGTATCTAATGTTGTCAAGAAGTAACTGTTTTCTCTCATTGGCTTGTTGCAAGATTTTGTTTAAAAGTGTTTAAATTTATAAAGAGTCCCCGCCATGCTATTTATATGGATTTCTGGGGTTTCTGGTCTACTCAGACGTTTCGATCTCAAGACTTATCAAAGTTTGTGTAAACATTATATTGCTTGATTCATTCAGAATTAATTTGGCTGAATCTGTTAACTGGAATGCTATTTATAAGTTTTTAAGTTTATAACATCAAACTTAGCAAGTACCTATATAGTCTTCATAGATGCTGAGAAGTGGTGTGAAGAAGCAAAATGAAGTGAAATTAAACTGGAAGCCAGCTTTCTCAATTCAATTTTCATGGTCTGAATCACTGCAACCATTACCAACCATGCATACTGACAAAAGAAAAAATTGTTCTGGGATAAGTTCGTGTATATAGAAGCAATCAATCTAAATATATACGAGATGTCAAATGTCAACAGATTGCTTTTGAATGAGGTATACAAGCCATTATTTTAAATGATATTCATCACAAGAAAATCATATTTCTAATTGACTTTCATCATAAATAAAAAAATGTGTCATTGATATATATATTGTCTAATGATGAAAAAACAAGGGCTAATTGTTCTAAATGAGATCGAAGAGATCGAAAAGACAGGCGGAAAAGAACGTGAAATTTGTAACTTTATAGTGAAATATCTCAATAAATGAGGTTTGTTCATATTTTCATTATCAAATTCGTGATTTTCAGACAAAAATACGTAAGTAACAAAAAAAAATTGGGAGAAAAACCCATCACATGATAAGTGCAAAAGTGCAAAGTTATACCAAAACTCGTGAAAAATTTGAAAATTTCGAGAGAATAATCCAGTTTAAGTACCTACTTCACTAATGACATTATTCATTTGATTAGGCTAAATTTATTTTCACCTTACCTTTATTTTATGTCTAATATTCTTCAGGGTGTAATTCAATTAATGGTTGAAAATAAAGGATATGGCTCCTTTGCTCATTTTAGGAAGAAAATTTCACATAAAATCATTCCCTAAACTCGAGCTATAGGGAGTTGAAATTTTGAAGAAAAAATCGTTTTCTTATCATAACTTCAATACCGTTTTAGATATTTTCATGAAATTTGACATGCACCTACTAAGTACCAATAGGCATTTTTGAATGCAGGAAATTTTTCGATTTTTATACCAGTGGCGTCCGTATGAGATGTATCGTGGACATTTTTTGAAAAAAACATTGTACGACCTTGATCAATCGGAGAATAAAAATCATTTTTGAATTCCTCGTTTATTTAGCAACAATTTGAATTCCTGAATTCTTTTCATGCATTTGTGGCATACAACATCATTTTGAACTAGTAGGCTAGTGCCCTATTTTGTATTTAAAATTATGACATTTTATCGTGATAGTCATTTACATAGTGAGCGTGTCTTCAATCAATGAAGAAAAAATATAATTTTATGAAGCTAAGGAACCATATCCTATATTTTCAGCCATCAATTAAAATTCACCCTGTATATAACACTCCTTATTAAGATTCGAAAATACACGTACCTGGAAAGTCAATTTTTAACATCCCCAAAATAAATCACTAAGACCACGACCCAACCATCCGAAAATTCAGGAAAAATAAGTACGTTATTTCAAGAAAATCTTGCGTCTGTATTGAGGTATAACGCGCGACTGAAAACTGAAACAAGACTGAAGTTCCCGGGAATTAATAGAGGCAGGTACTACCACGATATTCTGTGGTACCTTACCTACTGCCTCTATACGCACCATGCTTGCGGTACTACAACACCATCTCCATCTATCAAACTGTCCGATCATGCAGAAATGTGGTAGCTAAATCATTATTAATAACGATATGAAAAAACAAATGATAGAGAGATTATTGAAAAGGTATATTCCCAGATATATATATGAACATAAAAAAATGGATATATATATACAGTGTGACCCATTTAAGATGGAAGCACCCTTATAAAACTTACATTTTTCAACCGATTGGAATGATTTTTTTTTTTTTAGGTAGATATTCAAAAAGTCTATTAGGACACCAAATATCATGAATAAATCTCCATTTCCAGGGCCAACTAATCTGATTTTTCAAGGTCAAAAATCTAAAAAAATTACTAGCGATTTTTTTAGAAAAAATCTGACTACACCACTGGATTTGTGACATTTTCAAATGGGTAACATGTAAATTACGTTGAAATGCGTCAATCAATAAAAAAGTTATAAAGGAATGAAATTTGAAAGATATGCCGTTTAATCAACCCACCAATTCATGTTCAGGAATTTTATGAAAATTCTGTATACTCCACTGGATTCAGGATGTCTTGAAATATTACTGATCACAGTTTCATCGAAATCTGTTCAGTAATAAAAATTGATGGGTTGATTAAACGGCATATTTTTCAAATTTCATTCCTTTATAACTTTTTTATTGATTGACGCATTTCAACGTAATTTACATGTTACCCATTTGAAAATGTCACAAATCCAGTGGTGTAGTCAGATTTTTTCTAAAAAAATCGCTAGTAATTTTTTTAGATTTTTGACCTTGAAAAATCAGATTAGTTGGCCCTGGAAATGGAGATTTATTCATGATATTTGGTGTCCTAATAGACTTTTTGAATATCTACCTAACAAAAAAAAAATCATTCCAATCGGTTGAAAAATGTAAGTTTTATAAGGGTGCTTCCATCTTAAATGGGTCACACTGTATATAAAGAAATACATTGAGAATTCGCATTCTCCATGTGATGAAAATATTCTCTCTCGGTTTATTCAACAGAAAACAACTGCTTCCCTGGCTATATGCCACGACGAACATTGAATTACATCTATTGAACACACACGATAAGAATTTGAAAACAAAAAAAATATTCGAACTCATATCATAATACTAGTGAGTAAGATCTATTTATCATTATTATTTCTCTTATCAAAAAAGGAAACAAACAGGAGAAGCCGTTAGGAATAGTCGTAATTCAGTCTAATAATCATACTTATTAAAATATTTCATTAATTGCCATAAAAAGTGAGGAGCATAGATGGAAATCTATACTATAAATAGCTGAAATTACTGTTTTATTGTTGATTTCATGGTAAATAACATGTTAATTTTCATCTGTTAACAATATCATGATAAGACCAGCATTTACTAAGAAGGAAACCAGATTGTAGATGCGTAGATTAGAGAGTATAGATATTTGAAATGAAATGTATATTCTACTCTTGTGTACAGAGTGTCTATAAAATGGTCTGTCCTATACGCTAACAGAGAATTCCAATATCAGAATATAAAAATTTCATCTGAATCTTCTTCACTTTGAAAGTTTTTAGGTTTAGGTTCAGGAAAACAGCAGAGATTCATGCATAGTTCTTATATTTGTAAAAATGTTTTGCAAATATTGATCCCAATTTTTCTATATATTATTGACTACTGAGACGTGATCGTACCTTCTTTTTTAACGCAGATTTCAATTTTTTATTCAATCGTTATAATGAATGACATTTTCTCAACAGTTGATGTGAAAATGAGTCCCTTGTAGATATTTTTTTATGTTCTGGTTCTTACGAAAAGGGATATCCTGTACTGTTCAGAGAACATCGTGAGAACCGAAGGAAATAAGGTAGGAATTGGTGTTCTTCTTAAATTTCTGGAGGTTATATGCCGCGGGGAACACCTCCCTTGGCAATGTGTTCCAGAGCCTCGCTGATTGTTGGATGACTCGCGGAGACTGCCAAGGGAGGAACAATTGTTGATATTTCCATCGTCCGTGAAAATATCTATAAAATAGAGCCAGATCGCCAACTTCTTTACGGTTCCAGAGAAGTGAGTGAGTTTGTGAGCGAGGCATCACCCACGAGATGAATTGACCTTTTGCTGCTTTTGCCCAACAGTTTCAGGGTATGTTTGGGTGCTGCACTCCAAATATGGGAACAGTATTCCAGGACAGGTCGGATCTGTTCCATATAGATAATAAGCAGCTGACTGGAAGTGAAATAGCTCCTGGCTCGAAACAGAAAACCAAGTTTTTGGGATTCACTTTTGGCAATTGCTCTCACGTGATTTTCCCAAGAAAGGTTATTGCTGATAGTAATACCAAGCATCGAAATGGATGTCTTCAAAGGCATGGTTACTCCTGACAAGCTTATGTTGGGCACGGTGAGATCGGCTTTTCTAGAGAAAAGGCATGCTTGTGTTTTGCTTGCATTGAAATCTACCAAGTTGAAGTAGGAACAATGTTGGTCCCAAAATTGATCCTTGTGGAACGCCGGAATTGATGCCAACGGTAATCAGCAATCAAATTTTATATAGTTGATGATCGTTCATAGTAATAATCAGACGTCATAAAAGCGGGTTTTTCAACGACTATCGGTACATACCTATACATGCAACTACCATGATACCTATATAATATGGTGCTTACCTCTGAAATATTTCGAGAACAAAATGCAATTTGTCTTGTAAACTCCCACAATTCTGGCTAATTCTACTGACCAGCCAATATTGCGAGAATGCACATATCACATAAAATTATATTGCCTGGTAATTTGATGTTATCTACATAATGTGATCATGATGAGAAAAAAATCAACTCCGCTAAACATACTCCAAATACAGAGATTTTCTGTTAATGCCCTCCCTTCCATTTTTTGAACGGGTCAACTGAAAAAATTGAAACTTGACATTGAGGAATTGATGCATAAATACAATATTTTGGAGTAAAATTGACAGATGGAAATTTCGATATGGCGACTGGGCGAAGAAGAAGAATAAGAATTTTTTTCAAGATTTACAAGTGTCTTGTTAGGAACGAATTGAGATATTTCAAGTAGAACAAAAGTCTTCCATTGGAACAAGATATTCTCACGTAGATCGAGTTGTTCATGCTATGGAAAGAAAATATTTAGTTTCTGTCTTCGAAGTGGTAGCACGATTCGAAATGTAAATCTCCGATCTTGTTTCAAAGTCTTTTGTTTCCAGACCAGTTATTCGAGTTTTTGTTATAGTAAATGATCAAGAAAATATATATATTGGATCTTTCTTTTATTTTATTCAGACCAGGGAAGAGTCCCTCTTATCCTGATATCTATTATGGAACAAAATAAAAACGGTATTGAAGTTTGATGCGAACAGCCCTTCTGCCCCAAATAAGTTTCATTCATTCTAAGAATTGAAAGAGATCGAACGGAAAAATAAATATCAAAAACTTGAGAATAGTAAATTTGGTCATAATGTCGATATTTTCTCTAGTTTATGGACAATCTCGGTCTTTTGAACTTTGATTGATCACCTGGGTCATAATCAACTGCATTTCGAAGAAGCTGATTCTCATGAACCTCATCTTTTTCGAAAGTCTTGATGTTTCGTTCTCTAATGACTGACACGATAGAAGGGAAATTCAGATCCCTGGCGATCTGGTTATTCCGAACATACCAAAGAGATCCTGTCACCATTCCCGCGATTTTGTTGTGTAATGTTTGTAATCTGGTGATATGAGATTTAGCTGTGTGGCCTCAAACTACCGAGGCATATACAGTAAAATTGGCAAGATAGCCATGATGTGAATATTCAATTTTTGTCTCAAACCCAATTTAATTCGTCTGTCTAGAAATGAATACAGGGCTCCAATGGCTCGTTCAGTTTTTGGAACTTGCTGTTCAATGTGCTGGGCCCAGGTGAGCTTTTTGTCAATGCACACACCTAAGTATTTAACTTGTAAAGACCACTCTAACTCATGACCATCCAGAACTATTATGGTTCTGGAAGGCCTCCGCTCCCTTCCGAGTGCGACCAATTGTGTTTTTGCAGGATTCAATTTGATATTCCATCTTAGGAAGTACTCCTGAAGAGAATTCAGTGCGCTTTGGAGGTTCTTAGCTGTTTGCTCGAAATTTGTCGAATATGCAAGAACTGCCGTATCGCACTGGTCTCGACAAATCGCTAGTATATAAACTTTACAACAGCGGCGATAAAACTGAGGAACACCAGCTTCAATGGGCTTGATACCAGATCGTTGATCATCAAGTTTCACTTGATAAGTTAGATTTTTCAAACATGAACACATCAACTGAATCAAATCGTCAGGAAAACCCATATCGATCATTTTGTACAAGATACCATCATGCCACACCTTGTCCAATATGCTGACTAAAATGAATCTCACCTACTACTTAGTGTAATGAGCATTCTGGACAACAATTGTAGTATAGTGAGATTATAGTGTTTTCGGGAACTGAGATGCTCCTATCACGATGTGGGATACGCGAAACAAATACCATCAAATGATTACAATCTTTTGTTGGAAACTCTTTCTTTGATTCACAAACAGGTGTTTATGGTTATTTCGTATTGACTATCAGATATGTATGTCTATTTTTCTAATTTTGCTTTGCGTCATCTGTAATTACTACCTTCGCTTCCATATATTCGAGACGTTAATAGGTAACCAATTTTGTTGCATTGTTCGTGAAAAGCTCACGAAATTCTATTAATCAATACGGAATGTTTCATCGAGATAAAGATTTTTCGGTACTTCATCGGTGGGTATAAGTATACATATAGCTACGCCATTTTATCCAATGAAAACGGTAAAATTTTATTGTCGTCCTAGGTAGGGCCTATGGTTCGTGAGAATTATACAGTGGGTTGTTATTTTTTACTGATAATTTTTTTTTCTTCGACAGCTAAGTATGA